TACTGCTGCTGCTACTGCTGCTCCTACTGCTACTGCTGCTGCCTCTACTGCTGCAGGGATAGCACGCATTCAAAGGTATACCGACACATCTTATCAGCATATTCAAGCATTTTGCATGGGATAACAGTAGCTAAATAGAAAGCAAAACTGACTATGTTACAATGTGGGTGCTGAATGAATGGCTGGAGTTTGGACCTTTTAAATCCAACTCATGTGACCCATCCCTATCAACATTCTTAGTAAAACATATGTGCTTGTGTATGCATGATCAAACCAGCTTTAAAACATTGTACAACATGCAATATCAGCCCATAAGTTGCAGGCATTCACTGGGGTTTGACTCCCATGTGTTTGAATAAGGAAAGGTAAGACATTGCTTCTTTTAGAGAGTCTGTCTGAATTTGCTTGTTGTTTTAAGACCAATATGTGTATTTTGAAGTCTTGTAATTTGCAAAATACATAGCAATGAATGGCTTTTGCATTGGGTTGGAGCCGTGGACTGAAATGACTGGATTGCAGGGGGCTCGGGGGTTGAGTAGGAGTGAAATAATTGGCATTTTTAAGCCCAGGATTTCAGTATAACGCTAAAGCAGACCAGTTCGACAGACCACGCAATGAGGATTTGAAGGTCCTCGTTTGTTGTATTGGTTTATGACCGGGCTGTCGCTGGCTCGTCTGGTCTCGAGTATGTGTTTCATTCTTGTGCTGCTTTGCTCTCTGCAGTGGGGAATGTCGGCGCGGTCAGAGAATACTGATGCAGGGATGGTGCAAAAAAGGCTTAGTGGCAAAAATCCTGCTGACTTTGACATCGTGTAGCAGTTTGAAGCAATAACACAGAGAGACATGTTAGGGCTACCTGAGCAGTTTGCATATACACAACATTATTGGTCCCAGCTTGGCCCATAAAACATATATTTGTTCACTTTAAAGAGACGTAATAGCAGTCATTGAAAAGCGAAATCACCTTTAAACAGAAATGAGATAGAGCTAGCAAGATAGAGACCTGTACTTTGATCTACTTTGACCTGTTTAGACAGTTTTATCTCGACATTTGCAAACAGTTCTGAGATTTCCCTGTGATTCATGTGACCGAGTCTGATTGCCTGATGAATTTGACCTATTATCTGCATTTGACCCATCCTTCCAAAGCCACTAGGGCCTCCATCAGGAGCAGTGACAGCAGTTCAGCAGCAGGAGAACCATGTCCAGATGTTGTGGCTCTTGGAGAATTTTACCTATTGTACATGTTTTTTAATGGTAGTTTTCGGCAAATATACACAGACACTGGGAGAACATGCAAACTCTATATCAGACAGGCTGTGTGTGAAGGGATTTCAACCAAGGACTTTCTGAGATGTGAGTTATGTTTATTGAATTTTTTTACTCTTTCCCCTCTAACATCAGCATAAACTGGCACAAATTGCCTCCAACACTTACCCCCATCCCTTCTGCCTAAATCATGGGTGTCAAAGTCAAGGCCCGGGGGCCAGATCCGGCCAGTGAATGTATTATCTTGGCCCATAAGAAACTATTGGATTATCATAAATTAATCTGTTTTCTCTTTGGGGATGTTTGTTTTTGTCTGTGAGATGTTGGAACATGTTTTCACTTGAAATGACTGAGAGAGGCACAGAAAAATATTGTATTATTCATTTAATTATTAAATAAAATACGGTCCACTGTGTTAGGTTTTGGTTCAACAGGTTTTATGCATAATTTTAATATGTTTTAATAAACATTGAACCAGTCCGGGCCTCGGCTTGAAGCAAACATTTAGTTTTGGCCTCTGATGTCTTTGACTTTGGACAACCCTGGTCTGAAGGCTTTGCTTTCAAACCAGTTGTGACAGATTCTCAGTCTGTTTATGTCATGGGTAAGAGCAGTTTCGTGGATTCTAAAACATATGCGGCGACTTTTAATGTAGTTTTTTTTTTATGTATTCTGGGCAAATTACATACTTTATTGCTGCACACCTTCAGTCAATCAATCACTCTATGTCTTTGTTTGTCTGTCTGTCGATCTGTCTGTCTGTCTCTCTATCTGTCAGTCTGTCCATCTGTCTGTCAGTCTGTCCATCTGTCTGTCTGTCCATCTGTCTGTCAGTCTGTCCATCTGTCTGTCAGTCTGTCCATCTGTCTGTCAGTCTGTCCATCTGTCTGTCTGTCTGTCCATCTGTCTGTCAGTCTGTCCATCTGTCTGTCAGTCTGTCCATCTGTCTGTCAGTCTGTCCATCTGTCTGTCTGTCTGTCCATCTGTCTGTCAGTCTGTCCATCTGTCTGTCAGTCTGTCCATCTGTCTGTCAGTCTGTCCATCTGTCTGTCTGTCTCTCTATCTGTCTGTCTGTCCATCTATCTGTCTGTCTGTCCATCTGTCTGTCAGTCTGTCCATCTGTCTGTCTGTCTCTCTATCGTCCTTCACCAATGGACAAAACACATATGCTTCAAAACACAGCAGGACTATTTAAACTGCTTGATTCTTTGGTTTAATCCACAAATCTCTGCTGCTTTAACTTTATTTTATCTGTGATGGTTTTAAGACAGTCATAACATCATCAAGTCATATCCAGAGTGACTGTTTTCTCACTCTCTGCAGTGACGAGTGCTTCTGATAACTCCATCTCGCGCTGGTCTCTCAAGGCCTCAGCGATTGTCTTATCTCCATAGTTCCTCTGACGACATGTGAGCAGGACGTGGATGTATCTCTGTGTCGGACTAAAGTCTAAAGACGGGAGTTTTTCGCCAGCTTCCGCCTTCCAAAAATGCTTCCTAATTTTAGCCAGAATGTCTTGAAGATGTGTCATGAGCAGCGGAGCTAAGTTTAACCCGAGCTGCTGACGAAATCCTGCAGCCGAGGTGAAATATGTGAGAGGAGGCGCTGTGGGCGTGTGTCGCGGTAAAGCTGGGGTATGTGACTTTTTAGCGTCGTACGTAATCCATGTTGTTTGTCCCAATGGAAAGAGCTTTGTAGAAGTAAAATGCTAATTCTCCTTCTATTTAAACATGGACTATGGACATTCAATGATATTTATGGACATTGGTCTCTGCCCCTTTTGGACCTATGGATCTATGTGTTTTTTATCATTGCATTTCTTGTATTTAAAAAAACCCAACAACACTTTTTTCCTATTGAGCATTTTATAAAACACGTCTCCAAAGTGCTGCACAAAGATAAAAGTAACACATTTAACTTATTCTCTGATCTGAGTTAGCCAATACACAACTTTGTAAAGTCCTTTGAGATAAACTGGTAAAAAGTGATGAAAAAAAAAGTCAAAAATTGCTAAAATGTGTCTTAGTCTGACCACAATGTGACTGCCTTAAAACAAGATTTGCCGATGGGACAAAGAGCAAAAGGATCTTGTTTTAAAAAGATACAAGGAATCCCTTAGAATGAGAAAATAAAGTAACAATTCTTGAAATCAGACTAAAAGGCTTAGTCCCTTTGGAGAATCTTGTTTTAACACAGTCAGAATGTGCTCAGATTGAGATAATTTTATGCAGTGTCTTGGGAAAAAAACTATTGAATTGAATAGAAAAGGAGGAATGGGCCAAAATAGCCAAACACGATTAAACCGTCTTGTCTCATTGTACAAGACTCGAGACGATACAAAAGTCAGATTTATGAGAGGCAGAAGTCATGTACCCGAGCTTTATAAGGTACAGTTTATCAGTTTGTGAAATCCAGATCACAGACTCTTTCATGTCGTCAGGAGCAGACTTCAGGGATATCACATTTCTCTCCTCGGCAACATGAGAGAGACGAGGCTCTACACGCTCCAGTCTATTCCATGTATTTTTGTATCGCCCTACTGTAAATCACAACAGTAGTTATCGCAGAGGACTTTAGAGAATCAAACCAAGAAATGCATTGATAGAAACACATAGAGCCCTTGGTCCAGGAGCAGAGACTAATGTCCATAAATGTCCATACATGTTGAGAGTCCTGGATCATCACCTCTGTCCTTAGACCCTTTTGAATCTGCAAGAATGTGATGGTTATTGTTTCATTCTTACTCAGCCCAAAGAGTCAAACTGTGACTCTCGAGGCTCTTTCTTACGTTTGCAAATTATGTTTTCCGATCAGTGGATGACAGCTCTAACCCAAACCCTCTCAGAATATTAAGACTAATATAAGACTCTTTCTGTCCGGACAATCGACATGGATTACTCATGAAGATCAAAGTTTGGGATCCCAGAACAGACAAGTTTAACATGTGTAGTAGAGATTATACAGAATACAGAAGTCATATGTTACAGGAGTCAAGTCAAAGTGCAAGACAGAAGCAAGATAGAAACAATCACAGAAGGTCATTAATAATTACTTTGAAATATGGAAAGATATAATCCCTCAGTTGTTGCAGCAAAACTGATTCTAACCTGGATTTGAACATTGTCAGAGAAGAAGCCTGTCTCACGTTTTTAAGAAGGCTGTTCCAGATTTTCGCTGCATGACTCTGAAATGCTGCCTCCTCATGTTTAGTCCTGACTCAAGGATCAGCAGGAGACCAGTCCCTGTATTTCCCAAAATTTTAAAACTGCCCTCTCCAATTTTTGAACAAATCTCTCTGGTCTTATTTGACGAGAAAATAAGACCAGCTGAATGATTGTCGATTAGGAAGACCAATAGTGTTGATGATCCACCCGGAAGTAGAAAATCCTCATATATGTCTTTAATTTGAGCACTGACCGTGTTAAAACCAGATTCTCCAATGGAACAAAGCCATTTAGTCTTACTTTATGAACTGTTGCTTGTATTCTTTTAAAACACAATCATTTTTCTTTGTCCCATTTGCAAATCTTGTGTTGAGGCAGTCAAATTGTGCTCAAAATAAGATACATTTGATCAAATTCGAGCCATTTTTGCCTTGTTTTGTAAAACCTGTTGCAGTGAGTCCTCCTTGGTTCACTTTCGGCCCAAACATTTCACAGATGTACTTTAGTGCCAGGCCGTGCAGAGTCTACTCCAGCTTGAAAAGACCAAAACTGGAACAGAGACATATCATGCTAGTTGTTCTGAAGCTTGGACAGGGCAGTTGGGTGGTAGTGAGAAAAACCAGAAGACAGAGGCCACTGCCCCAACCTGCTGCTCCCTGGTGCTCCCTGGTGCTCCCCCCATGGTTCTCCCTCCCTGCTGCTCCCTCCCTGCTGCTCCGTCCCTGGTGCTCCCTCCCTGGTGCTCCCTCCCTGCTGCTCCCTTCCTGCTGCTCCTTCCCTGGTGCTCCCTCCCTGCTGCTCCCTCCCTGGTGCTCCCTCCCTGGTGCTCCCTCCCTGGTGCTCCCTCCCTGCTGCTCCCTCCCTGGTGCTCCCTCCCTGCTGCTCCCTCCCTGGTGCTCCCTCCCTGGTGCTCCCTCCCTGCTGCTCCTTCCCTGCTGCTCCGTCCCTGGTGCTCCCTCCCTGCTGCTCCCTCCCTGGTGCTCCCTCCCTGCTGCTCCCTCCCTGGTACTCCCTCCCTGCTGCTCCTTCCCTGGTGCTCCCTCCCTGCTGCTCCCTCCCTGCTGCTCCCTCCCTGCTGCTCCCTCCCTTGTGCACCCTCCCTGCTGCTCCCTCCCTTGTGCTCCCTCCCTGGTGCTCCCTCCCTGGTGCTCCCTCCCTGCTGCTCCCTCCCTGGTACTCCCTCCCTGCTGCTCCTTCCCTGGTGCTCCCTCCCTGCTGCTCCCTCCCTGCTGCTCCCTCCCTTGTGCACCCTCCCTGCTGCTCCCTCCCTTGTGCTCCCTCCCTGCTGCTCCCTCCCTGGTGCTCCCTCCCTGCTGCTCCCTCCCTGCTGCTCCCTCCCTGCTGCTCCCTCCCTTGTGCTCCCTCCCTGGTTCTCCCTCCCTGCTGCTCCCTCCCTTGTGCTCCCTCCCTGGTTCTCCCTCCCTGGTGCTCCCTCCCTTGTGCTCCCTCCCTGGTTCTCCCTCCCTGGTGCTCCCTCCCTGGTTCTCCCTCCCTGGTGCTCCCTCCCTGGTGCTCCCTCCCTGGTGCTCCCTGTACTTCTCCAGCCACAATGCCCCAAATACAGGGTTTAGTCTCCTGTAATTAAACGTCTTTATGCAACAAACGGCTTGGGCTGAGCTTAGGCGGCCATTAGCGCCGGTGGTATGTGCGCTAGCTTTTTATAACCCAGCACAAAAAGAAAGGGTCTTGGGGCTATTTTAGGGACAGAAGAAGAGGAGGAGAGGAAGCAAACCTGTATTGGTACAAGGTTTGACCGGTCCACACCCAAAGACCCAAACCCAGTGGTTATGTGTCAGACGTATTTGTTTAGACATATATTTTCATTGTAATCCGTGTGCTTGACTTTGAATGTGTTAACCATAGACTGTAAATCAACAGACGCAGTCACTCCTATCTCCGCCGTTGAAACCAAAGGTCCGTTCACTTTTGCCGTCTGTGGGCTTTTTCAATGTGAAAAAAAGCATTTGCGCATGCGTTAGCTGCATTCATTTAACGAGTGCATTCAAAAGTCCACAGCGGCTAAACTAGTAGTGATTGAAAAGTCACTGATGGTGCCGGCCTTATCTCCTCTAAAACTAAACTAAAACCAAGCAGAGAAATTCAAAACAAGTCAAAATAAAACCAAGTAAAATAACAATATTACTCTATTCATACAGATTTTATCCTAAATATCGACCTTTATGAGCCTTTTTCTTTTAAGAAACTTTAAAACCCATTGTTTTATATTCACTGTATGTTTACGGAGGCAGGAAAAGCTTTAGAAATCGTTCATTTGTGAAATCCTGCTCTTATCTTGCCGTGATGGACGGTACGTGGAATTTCAGCCTTAATTACACGACATTAGCCAAGTTACAGCGTTAGCGAGTTCACATGTCGGTCTCACTCCGGTCTCCCCGATGTTTTGGCTCCTTGCATGATTCAGCTAATTGCTCTAAATGCCACTGTTTGGTTTAACAACTGTGTGTTAGGAGTGGACTGACGTCACCTTAGGGTTGGCTTAGTGCCGTAACAGGGCTAAGGGCTGTTGCTAAGACGGTTGCTAAGACAAGATTGTGCTTCCCCTGCGAATGAAGGCCACATTGGCCAATCTGATTGGTCAATGTTTGAGGCCCAAGTCTGGATTTAAAAAGACAATATTAAAATAAAAACACCAGGATGCTAGCCCAAAATACTGGAGGAACTAGACAGGAAGTAAAACATGAAAAAAAACCAGAAGAGAACCCGGGTCAAAGTAAAATAGCGATAACAGAACCTGCCTTTGGATACACACAATATTATTAACTTGGAGATTTCAGTTCAGCAATATTTACAGCTTCAAACCGGCCTATAAGTGGAACCATAGAGCAGGCCGTGTGTTGCGTGTGCGTCAGCTTTGGACTGTTAAGTTGTGAAACACGCACAAATCAGCGTCTGTCAAAACGTCTCGGTGCGGTTGCGATCCAAACATAATGTTGTGTTACAGTCGCGGAGACACGAGAGGAGGATCGCAAACTCAGCGGGTTGTGACAGACTGAGGACGTTTAGGAGATAAAGGCAAATCCAGCAGTGATTTAAGTCGTTTTCAAGCGTTTTCCGCCTTGTTTGGTTACATTTCTGTTCTTTTTGGCCTTTAAACATGATCGTGGGAGTTTACACTTTGCTATTTCTGGTTTTTAGGCAGTGAAATATTGTGTGAAGCAGATATTAAATGTGTTAAACTGTAGAGAATGCTGTGAAACTGTGTCAAACGATCCATCTTCTTCATTCCTCTTCCTCAAAACAGATTGGTTCAATCTGTAGTTTTCAAATTGTTTTTTGGGGATTTTTTGGATCAACTTTTTCAGACAGAATAAATGTGTTGTGCTTGTAAAGGTAAAGTGTTTGAATAGTTAGTGATTTCTTTACTAATTATCCTACTATTTACTTAAATTCGGAGTGTGGTTCTCCATGTGTGTGTGTGAGTGTGTGTGTGTGTGTGTGTGTGTGTGTGTGTGTGTGTGTGTGTGTGTGTGTGTGTGTGTGCTTGTTTGCTGTGATTGTGATGGTGCATGGGTGATGGGTCTGAATGTGTTTTGTGAGTCCGCAGCCACTTTATAATAATAATAAATGTATTAATCATACATTTTATAGTTATTTTTTTATATCTTTAGGGCCCTCAAGGTCACCAAACAGATAAAAACAATATAATGGTCCATTGCTAGAATATGGTTCATGTTTCACAATTTCTCTCTCTCTCTGTTCTTGCTCTGGTCTCTCTCCAGTCTCTCTCTAGTCTCTCTGCTCTCTCTTCAGTCTCACTCTGGTCACTCTCTAGTCTCTCTCTCTCTCTGGTTTCTCTCTGGTCTCTCTCCACTGGTCTCTCTTCAGTCTCTCTCTGGTCTCTCTCTCCAGTCTCTCTCTAATCTCACTCTGGTCTCTCTCTGGTCTCTCTCTAGTCTCACTCTGGTCTCTCTCTGGTCTCTCTCTTCTCACTGTCTCCAGTCTCTCTCTGGTCTCTCTCTAGTCTCACTCTGGTCTCTCTCCAGTCTCTCTCTTCTCATTGTCTCCAGTCTCTCTCTGGTCTCTCTCTAGTCTCACTCTGGTCTCTCTCCAGTCTCTCTCTTCTCACTGTCTCCAGTCTCTCTCTGGTCTCTCTCTGTTCACTCTCCTCTGGAAAATCAGACTCAAAAACCAAAAACAAAAGCATCAACAATCGAAGCAGAGACCATTCCTTCTCCTCTCCCTCCGCACTCCTCCGCCAAGGCCACTCTTCCAATTTAACTTTTGCAACTATTGATTATCGGAAAACCTTCGTGGAATCACAGCAACGAGCGTCTGGACTCAATTCTCCAGTGGCTTCAAAAATCCCAGCTATGCATTTAGGCGAGAGGCGAGAGCAAAACATATACGTTACTCAAACCCAGAGACTCAGCCAGACCTCAGCAATGCATGTGTTAAAAGTCTCAAATGAAAACTGATGTCATTTTGTTTAAGTTTGAGATACGCTGAGGTCGAGTGGGATTTTCAAGACTTTTGGTGGTTTTAAATAAGAAAAATATTGTTACTGATATGAAGGTCTGCTTATAAGGCCAGGGTTGAAATGGAAAAATATGAGGATTTAGATAAAGGCGAACGATTAAGCAGAAGGAATCGGGGCAATGTTTTGGTAGAAGTTTAGGAAGAAGTATTCATCGCTTGGTTTCAAACTTACCCTGTGTTTTCTATGTGTAAAGTACAGAATTCTAGTGACAAATAATTCAATGTCTTTTTATCTGTTAACTACTGTTGTGATTCAGGGCTATTCTCTGTAGAGGACGTTTTATAAAGCTGTCGATTTGTCAACAACAGATCAGAGAATCAAACCGTTTAAACACAAGAAATGCATTAATTGAAAACACGTAAAGACATTGGTCCATAAAGGGCAGAGACCAATGTGGGTGAATGTGGAGGGTCCTGGATCAAACTTCATAACAAAGCCCCATCAGGGAGCTGTGGAAATGTCCTGAACATTGTCTTTCCTTTGCTTCTCTTGGACTCATTTATTTATTGCTATTTAAAAAAACACACACAAAAACATCTTAATCATCCTGCAGTGTTAGTGTGAGCAAGGGACTGATGCACAATTTACTTTTGGGTCAGTAAAGTATCTATCTATCTATCTATTATCTTCCCTCTCTCTCTCTCTCCTCTATTTCTCTCTCACCTCTCTCTCTTCTCTCCTCTCTCTCTCTGCTCTTTTTCTCCTTTCTTTCTCTTCTCTCTCTCTCCAATCGCTCTCTTTCTCTCCTCTCTCTTCTTTTTCTCTTCTCTCTCTCTCCAATCGCTCTCTTTCTCTCCTCTCTCTCTCTCCTCTCTCTCACCTCTCTCTCTCTCTCTCTCCAATCGCTCTCTTTCTCTCCTCTCTCTTTCTTTCGTCTCTCTCCTCTCTTTCTCTCTTCTCCCCTCTCTATTGCCTCTCTCTTTCTGTCCTCTGCCCCTCTCTCTCTCTCCTCTGTCTCTCTCTCCTCTTTCTCTCACTCCCCTCTCTCACTGTCACATATCATACATGTTTTGAGTTGGTCTGTTATCTGCAAAGACTGTTGTTGTTATAGTAGTGTCTCTCTGCTCATCCCGCTCCCTCTGTGTGTTCGAACCATTTGATTCTAACTTTAAATATCCTTCAAGGCGACTGCTGAACTTGCTGCTAATGCATCTTCTCATGTTCCTTTTCCCAGCCTGTGATCTCACATTAAGCCTATCCTGGTTTAGATGTAATTTAATTGGACTTAATTAAGAATAGCCTGCATTAAACCGTGCAAATGCAACGCCCTTGTGAAGTTGAAACAGCTTGAGCAGCACCAGAGATCAATCCATTATAGGGTCTAAAACTGCCCTGAGCTCTGTGGCCTGCTAACCCACTGAATCTGTGAGGGCCTATATTAGCGCTAACAGGTGCATTGTGGGATATGTCACCGCCGCTGCCTCTTTGGGACGGGCTCCAAGAGGAGGGCTGCATGTGTTGTTTGGAGAGCGTGCCCAGGCTAAAGCAGTCCCAGCCCAGGGGAAGTCAAGGATAGAGTCTCAATCTTATTTTAAAACGTGTTTGAGGGAGAAGCCAGAGTCCAGAGAGACACAGCTGCGTTGTTCCTGGGAAAAAGCAACGTTTACGGCAGAGTTTGTGACTTTTGGGGTTCTTAGTAAGTACAGTTTCTCAAATATTTGGTAGAAATTGTCGGCAGGTGTGGCCGAACGTGTTGTGTTTGTGGCGTTGAAGCTTGTAAGACGCCCTTTTATCAACTCCTGCATGAACGGAGTTGTCAGGGGAAGTAGGGGGGAAGTCTCTATCTTCCTGAAAAGCAAAATATTTGAAGATTTTTTTCTGCTTATTTCATGCAAAAGATCAATACATCTGGTAATCATTATACTTTTGTCAATCTTTTCTTTGGTTTACACACCATGGGAACCATCTCTATTTCCAGCCATACTGCAGAAAAAAAAAAAAAAAGTATATAAAATTAAATACATGACGTTTGATCCATTTTCTTCCGCTTTATCTGTTGCTGGGTCATGGGAGAGCAGTCTTCCCCCTCCACACACACTTCCTCCAGGAATCCTAAGACGTTCCCAGGCCACAGAGAGACACA